GGGGGGGGGGGGTTATTTCCCAAGAGGATCACATCTCTTTCCCAGGAAAGGGTGACATTTTATGAGGGAGTGAAGACAGAACGATTGGGAAACTGGAATCCAATAGTGAGGAGGAAGCAGCGATACTGTTGTGTATAGTGAAGAAGATAGACGAGCAAATCCAGAGAAAGGTCCACTCCAACGGGCAGAAAATAACAGATTGAAGAGCTGGAGGCAATCATGAAATATACCTCTCAACAATTATTTATGAGCTCTTGAACATATGGAAGAAAACACAACAAACACAAAGTTTTCTACTGAGAGTATTTCACTTTAAATCTGTTTTGTCTCTTTAAGAGAGTGGTGCAGGAATGAGTCCTAAAATCCCAAAATGAGTTAGCAGTTTACCACAGCCGGCTCTAAGTCCATGGTCTTTTCCTATGTGTTTTTGGTTGTTTGCCAGAATTTAGGTTTGTGGTTATAACAAGCGGAAGATATTTTAACGTTTTGTTCTATGACAAGAATTAAGTCAGTAAATACCCCACTGGTGAAATTTAAAAGTGTCTAAATGAGACAACTAAACGTCATCACGGCGAACATTAGCTGGCTTTTGCTTAGCAGTGTTGACGTGAAGTCATGTCACTTTGCTATAGTTTCTTTAGAGGTTTATATAGTTCACTTTTTTACGACACTAATCATTAAGTGGTGATCAAAATGTGAATAAACACAAAGTGCTTCATATCCGAAGCAGAAGAACAAACCACAAGCTCATATTTAGCACTCGTAGAGAATCCAAACCTCCTCAGAATCATCAGATCAGCCTTACTTGACCTTCGTTCGTTAATCAATGGTAAATGGGTTCTTGTTAACCCCAGCCTGACCTCCTCTGACCTGAATGAGCGTACAGGGAACTACAAAGCAGAGATCCACAGGAAGGCATCATGTCTGCCGCCCTGAGTCGCTCCCTTGTTGCCAGGGGTCTCTTTAAAGACCGCTGACCTTTTGGCTGTTACTGAGAGCGTTTCTCATCCACTCGAGTTAAACCAGCAAGGAAATAATCAATGTGAGTCCATCTGAACAGGATGTTTGTGTCCATTTTGAATGCATGAATGTCTTGTTTTATAACTAATTAAATATACAGTTAACCAAAAGCATGGTTCATTTTGTTTAAAATGTGAAATCTGTTGATCAGCTAGCTTTTGCTCAATGACTGAGACGAGACATGACACCGTTAAATATTAACTGCGATGTGCAAAATTACTAAAATTAAGTTTAGCAAAGATGTTTACAAAAATATCCCTTTAGTGTAATATATTATTATTATTTTCTATATATGAGGACTACAGCAGGACGCTTACTGTGACCATATCGACATAGTAACATATTATCTGTAGTATTATACAATTTGCATCGACTTAAACAAAAATAGTTTGGGGTTTCGTTCACTAAGATGAGACAAAGACGCCCAGACTTTGTCAAATAAAAAACAGTATGACTTCAAATGATAATAACTGAACATGCCCTTTCTCAGAGGACTTTGAAGGTTAATAACATTCAACATTAAATTTATAGCAGAAAACTTCACACACAGTCAGCTTCAAAGCCCCCCTGATAAAAAGTGTTTCTCTGTCATGACTCACAGAGCTGCGGGGGGGTCAGGGCCTTCTGTAGGAGTCCCTTTGATTCCTGTATTCACAGAAAGACTTCCTGGCCCGGATAGAGAGAGAAAAAAGGAGTGAGAGAAGGGATCAAATGGGATAGAGGCGTGTCTTGTTCTCTCCTCTCTATCTGTGGAGGGTTCCCAACTGATGGAGCTGCTGTTTAATCTCCGCTCGCTCCACAGAAACACACAGAAACTCACAAAACTAAAGGAGTTAAAACACACTCATCTGTAAAAATAGTCAAGTATCTTGAGAGGTGTTTGTTTATTAAAAATCATTACAGCTTACTTTTCATATTACATATCAGAAAACACATTTTCAATTTATCTCAGTTAGATTTTCTTATCCAAAATATATTTGTTAGAATGATTAGCTTTTGCTTAAAGATCCTCACTGCCTGAAAACCTTCACTGGACTCCTTTGTTTACATCGTGAAAATAGTGACATCATTATGTATCACTTGCACTTCTATAGTGCTCCAACATAGTACATGATAGTCTAAGGGGCAGGACTTCCCTTAGGGGTTGACCAATCACAACAGAGGCGGGCAGCTAACCAATCAGAGCAGACTGGGCACAGGATGTATGTGAAAAATAAATACTTTTTTTTAACATTAAAGCATGGAAACATGTCAGAGCAGAGGCACACAATACATTTATGAACAACCGGCACTGTTCAGGCAATAAGGTGTGATGATAAACAGGGTAAAGCTCGTTTATTGACTAATAATGAGTAATTGGCCAACCCTATGATACATGTTGACTTTAGCAGCAGTCACAGACTGGTTGCACCAGTTTCTGCTTTCAATAGAAAATTATTTCATAAGCTGCCGCTGAGGTTTCTGCATCCGAGCAGAACCACATGAACACAAAATCATTTTTAATGCCAGGAAGACTTTCCTGTTCTGTCTTTTGTTTTTATATCAGATAGGTTGCTTGAGACATTTGTAAATCAATTACCTCTTTGCTTGTCCTAATTTCTTATTATTACCTGAGAAAATAAGTTTAAATGTTTGGAAATTGGTTTCTTACTTAACTAATATCCTATTAAATCTCTCATATTAAGTTCGAAGCTGTAAACAGCTGTGCAGCTTCCTGAAACAAATATGGCATGTTGATCCTAAATAGTGTGAGCTATCAACTAATCCAGAGAATTTCCCACCAGTTAAAAGTTATCCCTGAGCCAGTACACACAAGCTGGAGAGAGTCAGAGGTCATTAGTTACATCCTGTGAGATTTTAAAGAAAATATGTCCCACAATCTTTGAAGCCTTAACGGCATCTGATAAATAATCAGATTAAAAATAAATCCTATGACTATGACTGGAATGCATCCTTACTCCTTGGGGTTCCCACATGTTGTGTTTACAGAAGCTCCGTCTCAGCTGAGCTAATTGATGGCGGCCATTGTTAATGTTTAATATTTGCATTCCTGCGTTGCATTTGGTCACACTGGTTCCCAGCAGCACTTGAGTTTAACAAGTGGTGAATCACAGCCTGGAAGGCCAGCTCAGAGAAACTTTAACAGTTTATTTACCCAGAAAGCGAGTTTCCCTAACACATAGACATATTTAACTTTTACTTATGGAATAATCTAATTAGAAAAAGAGGTATTGAACGCTATCATCACATCAGCGGTGTGGAAAATCTAATGTGAAGCATTCGGGTTGTGGGGAGCTTGACGTTTATTAAGTATTTTTCCTAGACGAAACAAGATATTCATGGTAAGGGACAGGCCTTATTAAGTTTTCCACAGATTCATAAATCTCCCACCATGCAGCTCCTGGTGTCTGGGAATGTAATAAGGCTGACATGGTGTAATGTGCGACATCCATCACTAGCATTAGCATCTCCAACATTCGTTCTGTTTAAAGAGACCTCAAGTTGATTTAAAATAGATCGAAATGAGAAACAAACCAGAAGTCTAAAGAGAGAAAACCTAATTAACTTGACGTTATTTACTTGGGTCCATTCCAATATCCTGTCTCGTCATTTGATAGCGTTATTTGGGCACAAGTGAAGTAATGGAGGACTAAAGAAGGGTATGAATTTTGCACATCTAAACTTGGCAGGCTGCAGCTGATTTTATTTGGTTTGCTTTCCACAAAGCCTCCGTGTCATTCACCCTCTGATCACAGTCACTATTAGGACTGATGGAAGAATTGAACAAACTGTCAGTGACTTCACTTAACTGCGGTGTAAACTAATGCTTATCTCACTTTCCAAAAAAAGACAAGTAGAGAGGTGGATAATTATTCAGTAAATGAATCAGTCCAACAGTGAAGAAATACTGTTGCAAGTAAATGTCCTACAGTGAGAATCCTTATCCACAGTATGTCCACATGACAAAGTGGAAATACACACATACAAGCATCTAAACGTTCTACCGTAGTTACTTGTTTACAATCTTCCACTTACTAGTATTTGCTTGAAAAGAGAATAAAAGAGTGATTTAGGGAAAGACGTCCCCACAGACTGTGTCAACTGCTTCTGCCTTTTCCAAGTAGGAACTGTACACTTATAAGGGCAGAGAAAGGAAAATGCGACGTCTGTTTATGTGTACTGTAGCGTGTAGCTTGGAGGAATTTTGACTCAGAAAAGTATTACAAAATAAACCTGCATAACCTGCTCTGTGCATCCAATTAATCCACGGCCACAAGCTCCAGGCTCTCCCCTCGGGGATGTCAGCCATCAGTCAGCCGTGCAGAGGGTACGTTTGCCAAGACACTAGAACTTTAACAGAATTTGCTGACAGAGGTCACGCTGAGGAAGGCTCTCTGGTTTAGTGGCCTCATCCTGACAGCTTTAAGCTCCCAAAGCCTCTGGGGAGAAGAGATAAGGAAATGCACCATAAAACCCAAATAAAGCTGCTTTGTGTTCAGGGTGACATAAAGTAACACGAACATTTAAAGTGCCAGGATAAAGTGATTATATCTTGTCTGGAACTAATGCAACACTTAAAGAGTCCAGCTTTGTGCATTGCATTCGAAACACATCCACAAATATACTTTATCCATGAGAGCGCTCTGTGGACAAAGTGAATAATTGACAACACGGCAGCGTTTCCACAGCATTCAGCTTCTCATCTTTCCTGTAATGACTTTCCCTCTATACTCTGTCTGGAACTTCAATCATCACATGAAAGATAAGAAGCGAGTGAGATGCATAAAAAAATAAAACAACACAGCGGAGCGCCATATACAGTATTCTGGATGCCTTTAGCTCGAGCATTGCACTCCTCAAGAAACTTGATACCCATCTAGGATAATCGTTGGCATGCCATCCTTAAAATGAGCCTGAGGAACTCCCCTTTGTTAATAGCTCAGGAATTTTAGAGGGCAACAACTTTCCATATTTAGAAGCATTTTCCTGGTTTAGTTTTTTTTTTATCAAGCGGCAATAATGAGGGTAATTTTCCATGCCACGTTACACAGGGTACCACATAGTCTGACATCACTATTATGGTTATTTTTGACTCAATTTGACCAAAAAAGGAAGGCACCGTGTTCCCTTTCCACCTCATTAAAAGAGGCAGTGAAGTGAAGATAATGCATAGTTGTTTTTTTCCCATTAAAGAATAACACAATGTGAGCAGAAGGAAAATCAAAATGTATTATTTCATCTCCACAACAACATCAACAAATAACATTTCAGAAGCATAAAAGTATAAAAATTCAAAATGTAAAACTGAAACATGTAACGCTATTTTTTGTGACTGAGAATTAAAGTGGGCCCACAAAGCAAACACGTGTTTCCCATCTGTCCACCATTAATACATCTCTGCCTCAGGCCTGAATTATCTGTGAGACCATCAGATTGCTCTGTTTTCAGTCAAGCATCTGTTCTTTGGATGTGCTGCTAATCTCGTGAGTAAGGAACTCCCACCAGTCGAAACGTTTCAGTAAGAAATAATTAAAAGCTTTATAGTAGGCGGTGCTCTGAATTTGGCATGGAAGGTAATTGCACTTTGCTGCTTCAACACTTCAGCTTTAAACGGTTTACCAACTCAGCATGAAATGTCCAATTTTCCAAATGGCTGCTAAATCCTAATCTACTCCTTCACTAAGATTGTGCTTGACCTAACGCAACAATACATTGTCCACAGATAAGGAAGACTACTTTTAATCACCCCATCTTCAGGAATTTTAGTACACTAAGTTTGAAAATAAACTGCTGAGGTATTAGATAACTCCACAATAAATAAAATCTGCACCTTTATAATTGAATTGACCGTAAAAATTAAATATTAAGACATAAAGAATTGTGAGACCGTTTTCACAATTTGGTGCAACGTTAAGGTTTGGTGAGGTGTGTTTGTAAGGAGACATTTGGTAACAGAAAATGTAAAGCAAAATAAGACTTTTTAAATCTTTCTCCACACAGGATATCTCAGGAGTCTCTGTGTTTAGCTGATCCTTATCCAAAGCAGTAGTATTCATCCGATTCAACCCTGAGTTTCAGAGGCGACTTGCTGAAAGTGTCACCATCGATAACCGTTTTTTCCATAAAACTGTCGAGATCTGTGGGCGAGGGCTCGTCGGGCAGGTCCTCCAGGGTGTCCAGGTAACTGCCCACGGACAGAGCGTCCAGCCCGTCGCTGCCCCCCTCGTTCAGGCTGCTGAGGCTGCCCTGCAGCGAGCCCCCCTCCTGGCTGTCTGTCAGGCTGTACAGGCTGCCCGTCAGGCTGCCCTCCTGACTGGCAGCGCCCCCTTTGTCCTCTATCAGCCACCGTACCGACTCGATGCCCTCGTTGATGGACATGAGCTGCTGCATCAGCTTCACGTCGATGGCTCGCAGGTGTGCCTGTGAGAAGAAAAAAAAAAAATCACGGTCGCGTTATAGTTTGGAAAGAGCATACAGTATAAAAATAATAATGCACTTTTTTCGTTTTTTCAGACTCTCTAAATAACCCTAACCCCTAGGATTAAGGTTTGTTATTTTGAGAAATTAAAAAGCTAATGTGGAGGAGCCGGCTGCCCGCTATTAAAAAGTGGTGACAGATAACCAACAAGTACCAAATCGCCTACAATAAGAATTGCTAAATATGACAAGAACGCAAGCAGGGCACACAGACATTTTTAGAAGTTAGTTTGGTTCTGATACTGCTCTCACGTCTGTGCCAGTTAGCTTAGCATAAAGACAAGGGAAACTGCTAGCCTGGCTCTGTGCAAAGATGCAACAACTGGCATCTTTAAAACTGAGGGATAAGTGTTTGTAAAGGCAAAGATTTGATTTGAGTTTTGGCGTCACCATAATGCCAGCGGACTCACACTGTGCACTTCCAATAAGCTCATATATGTCAGTATATAAAAGTAATTTGTCATATTCCTTTGTAAACTTGATTCATTTGACTGTACGCACCATTATACTCCTGAGCAAACTCCTTGTACGTGTTTGGCAATAAACCGGATTCTGATTGTGATTAATTAACCTTGTGCTGGGATATGTCTCTCAACAGTTGTTTGCATTCTTGTGTCGTCTCATGGCGAGAACACTATGTGCTTTTAGTTTAGACTATCAGGCTTTGTTATGAACAAAGAGACGTGACTATGTGGCACCGGATAAGTGACTTCTCATTAAACAGCATGCGGAGGATTTTGAATAATGTGCAGCCTACTTTACACAGTATGGCCATTGATTTAACTTCTGCCATGACACATATGCCATTGACTGGGTTGGTGGAAGTGGGCTATGGGGTTAATCGAAGGGATTCCCCCTGTCTGTGTCTACTGGTGATCCACACTCAGTCAGGCTGAAAACAGCTGCAACAGCTGCTACATTCAAACTGCCTCATGCTTTCTTTGGAGAGGATTCACCTCTTATTCAGCTCATGTTGCTGCCGGTGTGTTTGTTTTCTGAGTATAACGCCCGCTCTGCACACACAGAGGCAGAGCAGATGGAGTCATATTTCTAATTCAACCCAGAGCAGCTATCTCATGCTAATAAGATGACACCAGGGCTGCAACATGTTGCCTGTGTTCGATGGCAACACCACAACAACATGTTTCATTTGTCTGAAGAAAGTAAAACATTTTCGGGAACATTTCAAAGTTAATTTGCTCCTTTGAGAGCCTGCAGATTATTTCAGCGTCAGTGTAAACATTTAGAGAAACACAATGATGTTGTTTACAGCCAAACATTATATCAATTTGTAAAAGCAGAACACTTTCCCTTCTCATATCAGCATAATTAAGTGATGCTGTTAGGTTAACAAACACACGGATAAATTAAACTACGGTAAAGGTGAGATGGTGTAAACTAATTGTTCCAGATAGGTCTGTGTGTAAGCTTATCAACACAAACTCGGATTGGTCACTCTGCTCCCATGATGCAGCTCTCCTCAGTCAGCAGGCCATCTGCTCAGGATCTAATACCTCTCCTGAACTGACTTGTAGGATGGGGGTGGCTGCTGCGCAGTGCAAACTGCCGTGACATTAAGATGATTTATCGTCTTGGGGGCAGATACAACTCTGAGGTAATTACACCGGGACAATTAGGTTACATGGGGCAGTTTGAATAATAAAGGGGGGGGGGTAGGGTATCTTTGGGTGCTGCAGGTGTGAACTGCTTTCACACACTGACTGCTTTGACAAAGACAATGACCCTGACAGTGCTGCTTTGCATTTAACAACCACTTGTTGATATGTAGAGGCATGTCCTCAGAGCAGACAGTGTATTTTAACTCGACATTAAACTATAAAACATAGCTAGCTGGCCTATTAACAGTGATACTTTAATAAGTTGTTTGACTCATCGACTTCAATGTTGAGCTCAGATAACTGTAGTTAAGGATCACGGAACTAGCTTGTAATTAAGTCAGTCAACTTTATATTTTTTATTTGGTTATATGTAGACCTGGTTTCATCCAGCAAAGGCGTTTCCTCTGGAAGTATATAGAGCATCTTATTTTGACTGACATGGAATTAGGCAGAATAGCAATAATTCTACATATTAGCTTTAGCTATATATATTCAGTCACTTTTAATGTTTTATGTCCTTCATTCAAAAGTTAGTAGAAGAATAAACGACTCAGAAATCTATACAGTTAAGAAGGATGTAAATAGCTCCTAAAAAGAACCAGTAAACTTTGTATTTATAGTTACTATTTTGAAAATCGAATAATCGGTATTTCGCAGGCCTACATTTTTAAATAGATAACTACTCGATTAATCGACTATGAAAACAAGTATCACTGAATCTATGTCTAGTCATTGCGTCTAGCATTTAGTGTAATTAACACTATCTATCTAGCTACTTGAACAGTTCATTAACAGATGTTTATTAAACATGATATAGAAATGTATAGAAGCTCACCATTTCCTGTCTGAGGAACAGCATCTTGCTCTGCAGCCTCTGCAGGTCCGCACTGTTAGCGGACAGTGCGGACAGAGAGCTCCTCTCCTGCGGCTTCCCTGCATACAGAGAGCGGATCAGACTATCCGGGACCTTCAGCCCCAGCTTAGTTTCTATATCTCTCAGATCGGGCAGCCCGGGGTTACCTTCCTCCATGGTGAATACTGAGAGATGGCACTGTGATGACGAGCGACAGAGACGCGCGAGAGAGCTATCCAGAGAGGAGTTGATTCAGAGTTGCTCCTCTAACTTGATCCCACAGACAGACAGAAGTTCTGACTCCTCACTGAGCCTCACTCAGACCTGCCTGCACAGCGGACCAATAGAGAGGCCGCTTTCCAACACGTGCTGTGCGTAAACCCTCCCCCTGTAACCGGACACCCACAGGTGGAGGACACCGGGCTGTATGTAATGAATATATCCTCCACTTTGCCCTCAACATGTGTCTGCAACAGTGACACATGCAACATCAAACAATTCGCACGTGCAGTTACATAAGTTATAGTTTTATTTTGCAGATGTACTACTCTTTGTTTAATGAGTTCATTAAGTGTATATATATCATTATTGTTTATGTTATTCACAGAGGTATTCCTGTGAATTATGTTTTTTATTTTTTTAAATATGTATACTTTTTTTAAATTAATAATTTCGGTATTGGTCATCGTTTGCAATTTACCATCTAGTATTGTATGATCCGATGGGTTGCAGTGTTGTTTTGTTGATCTCAACATATATACATGAAGGATGTGATGATTCATTACATAATATTTCTGTGCACGTTGATCATATTTTAATAAATTAAGATGTGTTAAACTTATATGGATCCGGGCAAATATTCTTACTCATGCAAGATCAAACATTTTGCAGGTGCACCTATCAGTTTAAGTATTATATCTATGAGTATAGCATTAATTTAGAAATGAATAAAATACTTCAATATTTTATTTAGAGTGGGCTTCCTGTGTCTTCTGGCATTATATTTGTTTATATACTAACTTTGAAAATCATAAAAACATTTGAATTATAATAAATAAAGGTAATAGCAGCAACGGTTAGAAACAAAGATAAATACAGGTGACCAAACAAAAGCGGAATCATGGCTGAAAAGATAACTGCCCCAAAACATGTTTGCTACATAGATTATATTAAATATGTTGTGATTTGTTGAGTAATTTGTGAGTTTATTCATGTCACCAAGTGTCAGTGAAAAGTCAGACAAACCTCTATGTGGACGTACAGTTTAATCATTTAAATAATTTGGCATGCACTCAGATCCAGCAACAGTATACATGTAAAAACAGAAAAGCATTAAGGACCACATCATATGGATTATTTTGTTTTCAAATTAGAGATAAAAAGCTGTATCTGTTGACTCTGAATTCCTCTGAATCAACACCCCTGCTTTCTCTGAAAGTTCATAAATGAATTCAATTGTGGGATCAATTTACTTAAAAACATAATAATAAAAAAAAACTCCTATCTTTCTCTCCTACATAAATACAGAGTAAGGTTGAACTATTACGCCCCCTTGTGGGGATAATGGCTCTGTGTCATGTCATTTTCAGCTTTTCCAAAATCTGAAACATTTTAAAGATTCATTGCAAACTCTGCAAAACCATATTCCGCATAACGGTCAATATATACATTGACCTTTTCATAAAATAAAAAAATGGCATATGTGTAAATCAGAATGAACTACACCAGCTTTGTTTTTGAGATATGAATGTTCCCAAGAGATTACTTCCTGTCACTTTGAGGAATCTGCAGATCAAGCCGTCTGCCCAGCTGTGTCTCTGTACAGAAAAGAGAGACTAGGATCTAAACTACTGATTGGCTCTTCTCGTCGTCGTAGCGCTGGTACTGGTCTGAGAGCAGAGGCTGGCGGCCCTCCATCTTGTATGACTTTGCTCGCACGGCACACGTTGTGGCGGCAAAAACAACCGCAACCAGCACAAGGGCGGATACTATCCCCATTGTGATGATTTCGGTCATTGTGAAAGCTTGAGCTGTAAATGTAAAGAGGAAGATTATTACTATCGTTCTGTGGATTATTTAAAGAAAGCAGAGCCAAAGAAATCCTCCTCACCTGGCCACTCGGCTTCATATGAATATCCCAGGTTTTCAGGGGCTGTCAGAAACATCTCTGCGTTTGTAACCGGGGGCCAGAAAGGCACCATGTTGTAGCCCCCGTTGTGACCGATGGGGGCATTCTCCTCAGGATACAGTGTGGAATCTGTCAGGAAACATTTCCAGTTAGACGAAAAGCTCCTCATGAAAAGCAGGAAGTACGCAGGTGTAATGAATAATGGTAGAAACCTGGACTGTGTCTCCTCAGCCACTCGTCAAAGATGGCGTCGGTGAAGGTGTGCAGCAGCACGAAGATGGGGTCGTTGGGGGAGAGGTGGGTCTGCCCGCCCGTCCCGTTCAGGAACAGGTGGGCCAGGTTGTGCAGGCTCCTCACCGCGGGGTCGTAGTTCCCCTTGGGGGCACTGTAGCCTGCAGAACAACGCCGACACACAGGGGGAAACAGTGAGAGAGGAAACAATGTATAACACAAATCATTAACAAATGCTATATTAATTACAAGTTATATCAGTTCATACATATTGCATCATAGCTGATAAAAAGACAACTCAATTATTCTGATAACATTCCTAAACAGTTTATTCTTCTTTTTGTACCTTTTATTGGACTTTTTTTTTTTAATTCTTATGTTTATATAAATATTTTCCTATTTTATTTCAGTTGATCTTTTCATTGAACATTCTAACTTCAACTTATTATGTTTCTATACATATTTTACATTATATTTCTTTAATTAATTGCTGATGAGAAATGATAACAATTCTATTAGACTATTAAAATATATTTTAACCATTCTTTCTTTTATTGGACATTTCTTTCATTAAATTATTATGTTTCCGTAAATATCTTTGTGTTTTATTTTATTCAGTTTTTTATGAAATGGCTCAACTTTAATGTTTCTGATTATTTCATACATCTTAAATTAACTGTCACAAATACCCAATTTCCTCCAGGATAAATAAAGTATTCCTGATTTTCTAATTATAGTTGCACACATTTTGTTTTTTTATGTGCTTTATGAAGTGTAAATTAATGTATACCACACATCTTTAAAACATTTCATGGATAGATTGATCACAAAATACTTATTGACAAAATATAAACTATTAACATATTGTAGATGTTTCAAAATGTTTGAGATAAAAGATAAAAATAGTTATCCTCCTCAACAATTATTATTCTAATATATAAAATGCAAGTATATCTGTATGCGTGCCTGTATTTGTTATAGTAAATAATTGCACCTAAAACAGCACTTTAAAATTTTCGTTTTTTAAACCTGTCTTTTTTTTTTTTATTCTCTTTGCTTTTTGATGACTTTTTAAATGTACTCACATTGTATAATGTATTTCCTTTGCAATATGTCTTAATATGTTGTAAACATGATTAAAGGTGTCATTATATATATGCAGTCTCTCACCTTCGATGGTGTTCCTGAAGCTCTCGGAGGAGGTGGAGTAATACGGCGGCGTGTCGAAGGCGTTGACCTGCAGACAGTCGGCCACATCCTGGGGCTCGGGGAGGCGCTGCACCATCGGCCGGTTCACGTTCCCTGCAGGGTTCCTCCTGATGGGGGTGCTCTCAGTGTCTGGGGGGGGAAGGGGGGGGGCGGGGGGGGAGGTATATGAGACTCACGACAGTCTGTGCACAAAGAATAAAGAGGATCACTGTAATATCTGCTCTGTGAACAATAGTCTTACTGTTGCAGATGGTTCCCAGCGTGTCGTAGTCCTCCACGCTCTCACAGATCACCCTCCACTGGGAGAAGATGGAATTGGTGCTCAGGGAGTTCATGTCGAAGCTGCTCCTCGCCCCCATCAGGTCGTCTGTGCAGATGTCACATGTGCTCCCCCCGATGGCAAAGTTCCAGTAGGGCAGGGCGAAGGACGGGTCCTGCAGCATGTCCTGTTGGAAATAAATTCAAGTTTGAGGATTCACCTTTTTTCTGCTGCTGATAAAGTGTTCCCATCGCCTCAGATAATGCCAAATAATCTTTTAAGTCTAATTTGGTCTGCACAGAATACATTTATTATCATTTGCGCACACTATGATTTACTTTAAAGCCATTTCATGCTTCAATAAATCAGGAAAATGTCTATTTGAAAGCCTCCGCGGAAACAATCCTGAGGTATTTAATCAATGATTAAATGTAACAGGTCAAGAAACATTTAGAATAGATGTTAACCACGGCTTAAGAAACAAATGAGTATAAAGTTATAATGGATTAAAAGAAACGTCTGGAAAGAAAATACTTTTATTTTAGGAAGTTTAATTGTCTTATCCTTGCTCTTTCACAATTGTTTTGTTTGTCTAGTCCACAGTGTTTCTCAAACTTTTTCATACTCGCGGACCACTTAACTCCACAAATATCCAAAATCACATCGTTTTTCTAGAACAGATAACAGATCGCCTGAAAATTGTACAAACAAGTGGCAACATGTGTGATGAAGGTGTTGCGCTGGGCTATATCATGCAATCGAAAGTGAGCTCGCTCCATTGCGGAGATATTCCCGCGAGAGTGCGGAAAACTTAAATGTATTTATTTATTTCAAATGTGAAATTTTACGAATATACTCACGGACCACTAGGGGCACTCACGGACCACCAGTGGTCCGCGGACCACATTTTGAGAATTGGCTAGTGCACAAACACGAGAAATAAACACATAAAGGTCAAGTTATATTGTTTGTGATTTAATTTGGAGTAGGACAAGGAACTGGTGAACTTTTTCGTCACATTATTTCAGGTACTGCTACGGCATCAGAGCCCTAAAGAAGCCTCCATTTCTAAGTGTTGGTCCTAAAAAGAGAAGTGTATAATTAGGAACCACTGATGGGTATAAACAGTGGTCCAGCTCTTAACTTGTGTGCAATTTACTGCACACAAAAGCTCAGTTGTTATTTTCCAGACACCATCTCCAAATTTAATTCAAACGCTTTAAATTACATTTTGCACGCCGCTTGTCTATTACAGCGAGAAATTGCATCTCCAGTGGTGGTTTCCTTGAATGCAGTTGGGGTGAAACACATTAGGGATTATAAACAAACTGTGGGGAATAACAGATGGGGGATCACTACCCACAGATCCAAACGGAGGTGCAGTTTGGGATTTGTTCTGGAAATGTCGCCACAGAACCCAGTCAATAATATAGAAAACGTTATGGTGTTCATCAGTGGGCCACAGGGTTTTCAGATGATGACTTAGACATTATTTCAATGGATATATGTATTATTACTGCTTTAAAGTGTCCTCTCAAATGGTGATTCTGTTCTGTGTGTTATCTCACCTGCATGTCTCGCTCCAGCTGCAGCAGGTGGAACCGGTGCCACGTGACAAAGCCCGGCCCCTCGTGAGAAAAGTCCACACCCCCAAAGCTGGCCTGACCCGCGCCCAGGAAGGTCTTGCTGACGGAGAAGTAGTGCGACCACACAAAGTAGTTGTAGATGGTAATGTTCTCAAACTGCGGGGTGAGTCCGTCCGGCCCGAAGATCTCCGGGGTTCTCCGAGTGGCGATCACCAAGTCGGGGTGCACGGTGCGCTTGGCCTGATCCAGAGCATCCACAAAGGCACGCTTCTCCTCTGTGCTGAGCCCCATCACGTTTCTCCTCACTGTGGGATTACAGCAGGGGGACAAGTGGATTAACTCACTCAGTCATGCGTTAATAAGGGATCAGATTGTAATGACTGAGAAAATAAGTACAAAAAATGTGCATAACGGGAAGATTGAATCAATTGTTCTTGTTATCAAATGCCTTTTTCTAAATAACTTTTTTAAATGGATTGGTACATTTCTTTAAACTCCACATATCAAATTTGAAATGTTATTCTCCCTTCCAACCAAAGCAGAGATGATGCCATAATCTGGGTTTTTCCAGATGTAATACATTATACAAATAGGTGTCATGTTGTGCAGTGATGGAGGCATCATCAGTCACAGTAAGACTCCAGGGCAAAATAGGGACTTTCACTCAATTATTTCTCTCATCAAATGCCTTTTTCTAACTATTTTAGATGCATTTTAGCTGGAATATGAGCAAAACAAATTAATTTTTAACTTAATAAATAAATAGATGGATACCAATTTAAATGTTATATGGCTTCTCCATTAATTAAAGCCAATATGCAATGTAATGATCCTAGGAGGGGCACTCACCGACAGAGACCCGCTGGTCGCAGATGGCTCCGGTCCAGCCGTGCCTGCAGCGGCCGCAGTTAGACCCGCTAAAGTTCCCGTTACACCGACACGTCTGGTTGAAGAACCGGATGGGCCATCGCTCCCGGTCATCCCTCCCGTCGTGCGGATACTGAGGGCCATGCGGCCTTGCGTCCACTGCGATGGCCACGCACTCTCCGCGGCCCGTACCGGACCCACACGGGTCGTCGTTGAGTCCGGATGGCGAGGGGCAGCACGTCCCGCTCCGGAGCCCCTCAGGTGTCACACACTCTCTGGGGAACTGCGCGCTCACCACCACCGCGCACACCAGCACCAAACAACAGCTCTGCCACATCATCCAAACACGGTCGCTAAACTTTACGCACGACTGATGGACTCTTTTTTACCGTCTGACAGTGTATCAGGACTTCAGCTAAAACTTTATCCAAACTGAAGGTGCAACACTCTACCACAGCAGGAATGACTTTCTCTGAGTGTGTGTGAAACTCCTCTCCAATGCGCTGGACCCCTGCTTGCACATCCCTAGCCAGTGACCCGCACATTTAAATACCGGATTAGCGCATGACTACATCACATGCCATCTCACATCACATTTTCTCCTGAGGGTAAAGGCAGAAGGTAGTGAGCTCCTCATGATCAGTAGTATTCATCTAAAACTCAATGCACTCCTGCAGTTCCCACATTACAAAACTGTTTAAAACACAAATGATGATGAATGAGCAGGCCACTTTAATGCATGTAAATGGAGTGAGTTTTCTCGCCTTTATGAGCACTGTATGCAAATGAACCTGTTAGGAATTAGCCTTTTATTGTGGCCCCCACAATATATTATTTACTGTTGCACTTGAAAACTCTAATTTTGACTCTTTTTCAGGTATTCTTGGGTCGGAGGGCCTTTACTGAGATCTCAGGGGGGAAAGGGGGAAATAAATCATAATGCACCAAATAACCACAAGTGTGATATTATGAAGTCCCCTCCCTCTGCAGAAAATGCCAGGATCTAATCTGGAAAAGCCTCAGAGGGTCCTGTGTGTGTGAGTCGTTAGAGACCATGTTGCGGGTCATTTGACTTCTCAAGAAAGCCCCTTTCTCCCTCTCTCCCACCAAAGGGTTATTGTGCTGCCAGGTTTAAGAAATAGAAGCAGGAGACAGCATATCGTGACGTTCAGGCCCAGAGGACCCCCTCAGGTGAATATGAAAATAATTCCAACTAACAGATATCACCCGTAAAAACCTCCTCAGTTGAACATTGAGGCATTTTTCTTGTATTAAACCTTTTCTGAACTGTTTGATAATGAGGCATTATCTTATTATTTTTTTTCCCAGAGATGAAATGTGAACATTGGATAAAGGATCTCTTTGTATCACTCCATACATCAGAGAATACTTTCAACAGCCATACAAACATATTTATCTGCATGTTCTAGTAATTAAACTCTGTATTAAATGAAACATGAACACGCAAAACATCTTTATATCATAGTAGATGGGAAGGAAACTGGAAAGTGCTACTGAAGTAGAATTTTGCTGAGAGAGGATGAGAATTTGGTAAAGAGGAAAATCTTGTTCATCAAAACAGTAAAATTAACTATTTATTTGGAGCCCATCAGTGTGCAGACCTCCTTTGTATCCTGTAGTGAAGTGTTTTTTGTCTTGTACCTGAGTCTCTCTTCACACATGGTTCATTTTTAGAATCAGAATAACTTTAACATGACATGCATGCAGCATTAAAGACCCTTTGTGTCTGTTAAATACCTTTTGTAATCTACCCATCCAGTTTAAAATGATGTTTTCTCACCTTTAAACCAAAGCAGAGACCATTTCACACATTAGCTCACTAGTAAAACTCTCTCCCCTCCTTCCAGCATGTAGTGTCTCCTTGCTTAACTTTCTGTGAACTCCAGGTTCAACATTCATTTGAATTCCCCACCCCGATCGGCCCTCTGGCGTCGCACCTTTTGTTCATCTGCTTCTTCTTGCTGAAGGTGAAGAAGTCAGGCTGGAAATATAAAAAACAAAAACTTTCATTAGTTTGAATGAGCTGATGATACCTTTGGCACCATCTTGATTATTTCTACAATAACCTCAGGACATTCTGTAGTCCATCCATCCATCTTCTCCCACTTATCCTTGGTCGGGTCGCGGAGGTAGCAGTTCCAGCAGAGAGCCCCAAACCTTCTTTTCCCTGGCCACATCAACCAGCTCTGACTGGGGGATCCCAAGGCGCTCCCAGGCCAGCGAAGAGATGTAATCCCTCCACCTGGTTCTAGGTCTACCCCTTGGTCTCTTCCCAGCTGGACGTGCCTGGAACACCTCCCTGGGGAAGCGCCCAGGTGGCATCCTAAATAGGTGCCCAAACCACCTCAACTGGCTCCTTTCGACGCGAAGGAGGAGCGTTTAAACTCCGAGTCCCTCCCGGATGACCGAACTTCTCACCTTATCCCTAAGGGAGACACAGGCCACCCTGCGGAGAAAACCCATCTCGGCCGCTTGTACCCGCGATCTCGTTCTTTCGGTCATGACCCATCCTTCATGACCATAGGTGAGGGTAGGAACGAAAATGGCGCGGTAGACAGAGAGCTTTGCCTTCTGGCTCAGCTCCCTTTTCGTCACAACGGTGCGGTAAAGCGACTGCAGCGGGACATTCTGTAGTGATTAAGGAAACTGATTTGATGTTGTTGAGAAAACCCAAAGCTATAACCAGATGAGGTAGAATCTAGAGCAAATGATGGAACTCTATTCATTATCAGCAAACTTTACTGTATTTGTTTAAAGCATTCAGTAGAAAAACAACAACAGTGTCACTGCAAAGATCAAATAGTGAAGCACACATGTCATTCCTTACAGATCAAACACTCAAGAGAACACTTTCACACATGTAAATGCTGAAATGTTTGTGCAAAACGATTGTTTATGGCCTTATCTTTAATTGTACAGGCATGCAATTTCAATGTATTTAATCTACAAGGACAATGGGAGTTATTGCTATGAGAACATAAACAATGTCTGTTTAAGACATATTCTCAAAACCTTTCTCGTGAAGAAATTTAACAACAAACTTAGGAAGATATTTGTGAATGTAAGTTGCTGCATGCAGGCAGTATGAGAAAAATAAAGACCTTTCTGAACATTAAAGCAAGGAAACTAATGCTAATATGTACCCGAAAATGAGCATCATAGGCCCCTTTAATAGGAAACATAATAAGATATTGGTGAATCAAACTCAAGACCCAAGCCATCACTACTGGAGCTTAAAGAGCCAGTCACATGGCGGTACCTGAGTATATCCATTTTACATAAGCTATTTTCTACCCTTATCTCAAAACCCCTCAGATTAAACTTCGGACCTCTTAGCAGACCCCTAGCCAGAGGTTGGGAACTATTGGAGGAGACTAGTAAAAGCTAGCTCCAACGGTGAAATACTTTTGATACATTACTGCATAAACATCTAATAATTAAACATACAGTATCACAATGCAATATTTTGAATGCAGGTCTATATTGTACTAAGTAAAGGATGAGAGAGAAATACTTTCTCAGTGATAACATTAATATTCAACTCTTTCTTGGAAAGGCGTGATGAACCCGGTCAGTCAGTACAGTATTAATAACTTCCTCATCGTTTAAAAGGTTCCCCTCGGGATATTAAAGAATATCACAACAATGCAGCACTTTATGAGTCTTCCTCCAATGTGAAGGCTCAGATTTCTTAACCGGTCACATGTGCTTCAGGTTGGTTATCATTACTCCATCACGCATGTATCGTTTCATAATTGGGGCATGTCGGCGAGGATTACACAAAGCTAGTGCTAAGCTCATTCTCATGGAGCATATTTGAAAATACATTCCTGTAATATACCAGCTCCCATGTTCCCCAGGAGAAATACCTTTACTGTGTTCAAACACAGGTCTATTATATAGTTGTATACACAAACGATGAATTCTGCACGAGTCCTAGCGATCTATTATTCTGACCGAACTTAATTCTCCATGATTTATCCTCAGCATCATACACTTGTGGCTGTTTAATAATCCAGAGTGCTAGTTACCTGATAATGCACCACGCGTTTTACAATCAAATCGAGGAGGAGCTTTTTACTGATTGAAAAACTTTCATTTCTTTCTGAAAATGTCTGCATTCCTTTAGCCAAACATAATGATATACATATTAGTTACAGCTGATAAAACCTATTAGGATTTCTTTCACAAAATACAGAGGCTCTTTCATCTGTTTCAATGAGAACAAAGCAATTAGTTTTGTGTGTCAAAACAAATTAAGTCAGTTATCTTATCCAATTAAAGACATGTTACAGCAGTAATTAAAAGGTCAAGGGGCATATCATGCAATTATCCAAAAAAAAAATTGAAAGACAAACTGACACCAGTGGAGGAAGAAGTACCCAGAGTTTAGATACATAAATATGAAACATTACTTGAGTGAATGTGCTTCTCCTCTGTTTGTCCCATGACCAGCCCTCAGCCGACCCACCTTTCATCCCCCCCTGCCTCCCCCGCTGCCATGCTGTGTGCTCACGCATGTGTGTGAATAAAGCTCGGCGAGAGAGAAGATCATGTGAGAAGATGTGACTCAGGCTTAATGTTAATCCTAGCTTTTGGTAAAATGGCACAATGGGGGTCATTAGGAGGAAACTATACTAGCGGCTCATAAAACTGTCTGCCCCCCCTCCTCAGCCGCCTCCCCCTCCTCTAAGACAATGCCTACTTACTCGTCACGAGGCCTTCCATTCATCCAACCTTCACCCTGCTTGTACCTTTATTCATTAGTTTCTCTATTAATGAGAAGGAATGTTGAGGTTTTTTCAAGGAAAGAGTCCCATGGTGTTACAGCTCCAGGCATCCATGGTAGAACATCTAGAGCTACATTGAATTATTAATTTACAAACTTCTATAATATTTAAAATTACTTTAACATTTGACTTGGTAGATTTGTTGTTCAGTCATGAAACACAACTGAATATCTGTGTGGCGTACACTCAAAAGATAAAGAAAAACCCAATTGGCAAAAGGAAGAATGGAAAGAAACATGTGAAAAGAATACCATCAATCCAAATAGTACCTCTCTTGTATCATGCAGTGGGGCAAAAAAGTATTTAGTCAGCCACCAATTGTGCAAGTTCTCCCACTTAAAAAGATGAGAGGCCTGCAATTTTCATCCTAGGTATACCTCAACTATGAGAGACAAAATGAGAAAAAAAAAAAAAATCCAGAAAATGACATTGTCTGATTTTGAAAGAATTTATTTACAAATGATGGTCTAAAATAAGTATTTGGTCAATAACAAAAGTTCATCTCAATACTTTGTTATATACCCTTTGTTGGCAATGACAGAGGTCAAACGTTTTCTGTAAGTTTTCACAAGTTTTCACACACTGTTGCTGGTATTTTTGGCCCATTCCTCCATGCAGATCTCCTCTAGAGCAGTGATGTTTTGGGGCTGTCGCTGGGCAACACAGACTTTCAACTCCCTCCAAAGATTTTCTATGG